AGAACATAATCATGCAGGGCACCCTCTAGTCAGTGACTCTTGCAAGACTGAGGGTCGCGACACGTATTTGTTCAACCTTAAAGAGCTCCAACATCTGAGTATGGGATTCAAGCATGGGCAGCTAATTACCACACTGCAGTGAGACCGAGGGAACTCGATGGTTGGCTGACCAAGACGGGCCAGGAAGAAATCAGCATTTTCAGGCCTCTTATTCAAGTCCTTTCAGTTCACATAACCTAAAAAGTTGGTCTACCTGATCGATCTGGTGACCCATCAGAGCGTGCTATGTTTTCTGTCCTGTAAGGTACGTAGAATTATGGCTGGCAGCAAGGAGAGGCAGAAGGTCCACATTTCGAGGAAAAGGGTAAAGAAGCTCCAAGTCCAGCGTATTTATCTTGTCCAGTAGATGGGATTCTCTTCTTTGTGAGACAGATGCCGTCAGTCATTTAAACTTTGCTGTCGATCGGGTGAAGGACCCCAAACACACACGAACAGCCAAAGATGCCTGTCTTACATCAAGCGTCTGCAACGATAGCTGCTCAACTCCCTGAGCTGAGCTTATTGTAGATAATCCACCAGACTTGAAGAAGGAGACACGATCGCCGGGACAAGAGCTTTATTAGCCTGACGTTTCGGATTCCTACTCGAATCCATCATCAGAGACAAAAGCCGTTTCTGCTTTTTTGTCTCTGATGATGGATTCGAGTAGGAATCCGAAACGTCAGGCTAATAAAGCTCTTGTCCCGGCGATCGTGTCTCCTTCTTAAAGACTACTTCCTGGGACTCGTCTCTTCGCTTCCAATCCACCAGACTGTCTACAACGATCGCTTTTCAAAACTCAAGCTCAGAGAGTTAAAAAGCGATCGTTGTAGACAATGTTTATTTCTTGAATTGTCTTGCTTAATTTCGGCTACTATCTGTCAATGCATTAAACCTTTACGCCCGAAAAACGAATTTATCAATTATCTTTACTTATTTTGCCATTCCTCTATGCTAAGCGCCGTCCGTGAAACCCCTATTACTATCTTTCACGTAAGACAGGCACCTTTAGCTGGTCGTGTGTGTGTGTGTGTGTGTGTTTGGGGTCCTTAAACCGACCGTTGCCGATCATTAGTACACGTCCTTTTCTATTTTCAAATATTTAAGACACCTGTTGGAACTGGGGTTTTGACACTGCAGTCATACGCAACGGTGCAGCACCGTCCGTTCACACGGATATCGACCCTCAACCCGAACATTGTCAATGCTAGATCCAGCCTTAGTGATTTCCTAGATTCTCAGTAGTCGGGGTGATCTGACACTGGCAGAGTGGTTGGAAGGTTCTTTTCTGTTGCTCTCCCCACTGGGGTATCTAAAATCCTCGTGACTACCAAGGAGATAGTTGCCACTGTCCTTCATTGTGCCAAATCCCCGTTTGTGCTAATAACGACTTAGTCTTTGCGGGTTCACCTCCACTGAAACAGTGCTCACTGACTGGATACTAATGTAAGTACTCTTGACATTGCTAGATTGGGTATGGCAGGTTAAGTAAACGGTGACATTTCCTCTCCTTCAGCTTTTACCATCATTTATAGTAAAAAAAATTAGCACAAAATACAAATACTTGGACCAGACCTCGACTTAACGTCCACGATCCCATAGGATACTGTCCGGACCACGACGACTGTTTCTGATACATGTACTGTGGTAGAGTGGTGCTCACCGATCGCGTTTACGGAACTCACTCGTCCCGTTGTGCCGTTTAGTCCCGTAAAAATGATCGATGAGCTCCCCCCCTCTCCCTACCACTGTACGTTCCCGATCGAAACCGACAGGACAACAAACCCCTGGCTCAGTGGTTAGAGACGTTGGAATTTTAACTAACAGGTCGCGGGATCACGCTCCAGGTGTTTCACACTTCGGGATTGGGTATGACTGGCTGACGACAGTTAATAAGCCAGAAATGGCCATTCCAGTCTCCCTTTTCTTTGTCGGTAATAACATTCTGCCAATATAAGTACTATTACTGGGCGTATGACTATCACCACTACTTCTACTTATACTACTGACGATAATGTTTCGAATACTACAGACCTACTCAATGTGGCTAATTTTTTGCTATTCATCCAATCACCAACCTCGAATCTCGTAATACATGTGCTGAAAACTAAAAACCGCCGTATTTTTAATTTTTTTCAGCCGGGGACGGTAGAGGCTGAAATGAACAGAGCAGACGCATACAAAACCATGACGGTTGTCATGGAAGAAGGCAGGCGGGTCCTCTGGCTCCCAGTTGAAAAGCTTTTACACCAGGAAACCTATTTTACGCTCCACCTGCCCTTCCCACATCGTCCAGAAGTCACCGGTCTCTCCGTTGCTTCGCTGCGTCCCAGTGAGGAGCTGACTGACCACTCAGTCCACCGTCTCATGCTGGATTTTAAGGTGCAGCCAGACTGTGTTGTCATCAGCCGGGCTATTGGTCTTTCAGAGGCAGAAGCACAACGTAAAATGGACGCTGAGACTGAGACCACTCTGCCTATCACCAACATCCCCGTTGACTCCGAGGCGAACGAAGTCGGCGAGAGAGAGGACGACGATGACGGAGGGAACGAGGAGGAAGAGGACTACGTGGAGGGCACCCCTCAAATCAGTGATCAGGATCCGGATGGTATGAGCTCGCACCACTCGAAGCGCCACATGCGAACAGCGCCGCTAGAACACGCACAGCGCTTGATGAGACAGCAACAGGCCTTGTTTACTCGCAACTTTCTGCTGGCTGACGCCGGTCGCCTGGTGCGCTGCTTCAACGCTGACCTGCGAGCCCTGCGTCATCAGAAGATTCACCTGCAGTTTCTGCTGAAACGCGCTGATTTAAACCTACTGACACTGTACGAAGAGTACAAGTTGCTCAAGGACTTTGAGAAGTCAGAACGCGGTCTGGCGGAGACCTATGATCAGCGTCTGAAGGAACGCCGCGAGGTGAACGCCAAGGTATGCAACTCTGACGTCAAATAGTAGAGACACGGGTTGTTAGCTGTTTCTTTCCGGTGCTGCTTACAGCCGTGGACAAGGCGGTAAATCTAAATGACAGAGTGTACACTTATACGAGGATAATGGAAACAAACAAGATATTTATGGCTGCTATGGTGTGCGGGCAACTAATTCAAAGCTCTCCTACATAGCAAGTACAACCATTCTCAGTTATCGCGCTTGCAGTTTGATAAAGAATAATCGGGTCGACAAACGTTCTAGTCTAAGTTAGCAGACCTGACATGTTCGATAGTACCACTACAATGATAGAGAGGCGCCCACCGATCGTTGTTATGGAAGTCCCTCGTCCCGTTGTGTCTTACGGGATGTCTCTTTCTCTCGAGCCCAACCAGCAGCCGCACAGCCGCACATAATATAGGCAGAATGTTATTACATTGTATATTTTCGATCGAAACCGACGGAACAACGAGCCCGTGACTCAGTGGTTAGAGGCTTTGGACTGTTAACTAACAGGTTGCGGGATCGAGCCCCAGGTGTTCCACACTTTGGGGTTGGGTGTGACTGGTTGACGACAGCTAATAAGCCAGAACTGGTCATTATAGTCTCTCTTTTCTTTGTCGGTTATAACATTCTGCCAGTACCACTACGTCCGGAGACCCTGGAGGCAGTGGATTACCGTGGTGTTTTGTCTCCCTGTTAATATTGGCAAACCAATGTTCTTTTGACCTTAACTAAATCGTCCTCCGCGTTGCGTGAATTTCAGCAACGCTCAGACGAGTACTGAATACTTCCGTACTGTGGGAAAAGAAGCAGTATGGGTGACAGTCAACGGACTCCGGAGACCAATTTGCAATCCCGTGTAGTTGTCTTTGGCTTGATAATCGAAACAAGGCTGTTTGGCCGGTTAACTGTTGAGCAAAATAGGGACGGAGAGGATGATGGAGTGGCATATAAGCATAATAAGGCATTTCAAAAAGGTTCAGCTTATCAGCTGGATGCAGTCTACATGCGATCGATATGTTGTCAAGTGTAGAATATGAGCGGTACTCCTTTGTCCACACAGGGCTGACTTATGCCGCCTCGGCCGTTGCCAGTAAACGTGGTCCTACTGCGTTCTGACACCTCTGGGGGGCTCAACAGACTTCCTCGGCCATCCGAAGTGTTTGGTGTCAATTAGATGGACGAGAATGAGGCTATTCATACACCTGTCCTCTACTTTCACAAGCTATTTCCTCTTATCCGTATATACAAATGCCAACTCATTCGAGATCAATGTGGTCTGCTTCAAAGGACCTGGTGAAGCCCGCCGAAATGGTCTGAGGCGACGACTTGTCTTTTTTTCCAAGTGCGTCGACGTGGACCGCTTGGGAATGAGACTCCTGCCTTAGCGACTTGGAGGATCCGGGAAATAGTCTGGGGTAGATGCCTTTTAATTGATCAACTCGTAGCATCGTCCTGCAGTGGTAACCTAATGAAGCGACTCTTTCCTTCTGGTGATAAGTTTCGTTGGTTTCCCAGCCCGTTCTGAAATTTCCCCGAGAATATGTCGATGTGGTCACTCATTCCCGAAGAGCAGCATCCAGGCCCTTTTCGATAAACCTTCAAGGAAGCCAAACGGACAAAGTTTTAGCTCTGTCGGCCAAGCAGCGCTGGAATTACCTAGGCAAAATCGTTAAATTCGCATTTCATCGACCGGGTTGTGCCGAAATACCAGATTAACTAGCCTTGGACAATCTCGTCACGTTTCCTTTTACGGTATTGCTTGTTTTAGTGTGACGAACACAACTCCGCATGAAAATTCCTGCGTCGCTTGCGTGCCATTGACGTGAATGCGATAATTCCCACGAATAAACGATAGATATCTCAGAAGCCCTACGTAGGAAAAGCAGTAAGACCGGTTGGTAAATGAAATTGATATTCA